GATCGGTTTGAAGACATCTGAAGCACAGCCTTTGTTTTCTGGCTTCAACACGTCGCTCTGCCGCTGTTTGGAATGTTGTGCATCGCGTCGCATCATGTTGATAACTTCCGCAGATGCACTGAGCACTCGAATCTCTCGAAGATGTACTTCCTTGGTTATGTTTGTAATTGTATGCAGTTGAGTCTTCTTCGTAGTTCTGTCTCTCATCAATAGCTTGATCGGAACCGGAACGTCCCGCGACATCGCACTGTTCAAATGCAGATGTTGTAAAAGCGAGGGTTTCCTTCAAAGCGACTGCATCTTCCAGAACATCTAAGATCTCCTCTGTTGTGAATGATTTCTCTTCATTCTGCTCTTTGCAAAGTACTTTCTCGTTCAGCGAGTTTGGAAACTTCGAAAGTATTAGACGCCTCCACATTCGATTGTTGTCCAAGGGAACTCCTGCACATTCGATGTGAGTGAGTTTCTCAGTCACATCGGTTAACATTTTTCGGCAGCTACTGGCGTCTTCCTTTGCTCGCGGAAGTTTTTCGAGTTCTGTGATGAGGAGATCAGCTATGCATCCGGACTTGTTGTATCTCTTGTCGAGGAGTTTCACAGCTTTGTCGTAATTTTTTCCTATCACAGGAATATTGCCAAGCATAGAAGCAGCAGATCCTTTTAGTGCTTGCCTCAAAAATAGGAACTTATCAGTGTCGGTAAGCTGTGCGTTGCTGTGTATAAGCGAATTGAAGATCGTCCAAAACGTCGGGTAGTCTTTGTAGCTTCCACTAAACGTTGGAACTTCCAGCACTGGTAATCGGACCCTGTGCTCATTGTTTTGTTTTGTGGATAGACAACTATCCGTGTCCTTATCCGGTACTGGTGATCGCATCGAAGACGATGCTAATGAGTGGATTACATTTGACTGTTTTTCTAATTCCCTCGTTCGATATTTCAACCTGTTGGTCCAGTTGATACCTTCAAGCTGTAGACCGTTTGCTTCTGTGCTTAGGAAAGCAGCCAAATCGTTCATCAATCTGTCTTTGTCTGACTGGTCCTTTTTTGCGCCAAGAAAATTCATGGCAGTTTGCACTTGCGCCTCCAGGTTCTCCAGTAAACCTGTTAGGGTAATTTGCAGTTCATCAATCTCTGCTATTTTGTCCGCTATGAAGGCGTTGCATTCGGTTGCAGTGTTGGGAAATTCGAAAGCCTTATCAATATTGCGGACCTTGTCCTCAAGACCGCTGATTGATGAGCAGGCCATAGAAATGCGAGCTTTGTATAGAGTTAGCTCAGCCATCGTCTGCCTTGTGCGCATGGACTTGTATCGCTTGCGCTTTTGTCGTCTGCGTGCTTTGGCACTGCAGGTGTCGGCTTTGGTAGAAGAGTTCCGGCTGGGTACTTAGTACGCGCAGCTGTCCAGAACTGTGTGGAGGTTGGCTTGGCCTGAACCTCTGTAGAATTTTCTCTTGCTGGATGCAAGAAATTAGTCACTAGTGAGCTTAGCAGTGGAGTGCGTAGCTTCTTCTAGTTACTTAGCAAGCGTGCCGTTGGCTTGAACGCTGTGCTGACTGGTTAGGTTTGGATCCTGCCCAGTGCGAGTTTGAGGAGACCTTGTAATTTAATAGCTTTCGAGTGAACTATTAAAGATGTACCAACTGTTTTTTTTACTAACCTCTGGTCGTCTTACTAGAAGAGATCACAGAAGAGTTCAATTTCAGTGGTAAGGTCTTCAGCTGGAGCTTTTACTACTTTCTGGTCGTCTCACGAAGAGAGAGCTCAGAAAGGTTCAATTAACCAGTGGTTTCCTCAGCTGACGCTTTTACTACCTTCTGGTCGTCTCACGAAGAGAGAGCACAGAAGTGTTCAATTAATCAGTGATTTTCTGCCAACTAACGCTTTTACTACCTTCTGGTCGTCTCACGAAGAGAGAGCTCAGAAGGGTTCAATTAATTAGTGGAGAAGTATTCAGCTGGGGCTTTTACTACCTTCTGGTCGTCTCACGGAGAGAGAGCTCAGAAAGGTTCAATTGACCAGTGAAATTTCTTCGGTTGACGCTTTTACTACCTTCTGGTCGTCTCACGAAGAGAGAGCTCAGAAGGGTTCAATTGATCAGTGAAGAAGCCTGCCAACTAACGCTTTTACTACCTTCCGGTCGTCTCACGAAGAGAGAGCTCAAAAGGGTTCAATTAATTAGTGGAGTGTCTGCCACGCGGGACTTTATCAGCTTTCTGGGTAGCAAACGCCAGAAAGTGAACCGTAGGCCGAATGCACCAATTTGGTATACACCAAGCTGGTACCACTACGTTAATAACTGTTTATTGGATAGTAGCGGAGCAGCCGCTGACTATCAACAGTGAATATGCGGAACAGCCGCTGACGATAGTGGTATTAATCGAACCAACACCAGAACTGAGTATTCAGGCCCTTTTATGCCACTATTTTGGGCGTGGATAACCTGAATGCTCACTTCTGGTAAACAATAGTATCATACAGCATGAAGGATTGCCTACATGAAAGTAGGCGCCGCCAAGTAGACTATCAAGCACAGCGGAGGGGTGACCTGGCGGCTTAAGTGGTCAGTGAACAATAAGGTTTGTCAACGACAAGCTAACAGATATACTAAATATAACATACGTAGATCTACAATGCTAAAGGTTGTAGATTATTTAGATAATCTACGACACTCGCGCACATGTCATTTCACTGTCGTTTTTTTGACTACGGACATTCGCAAACCGCAGATCGCATCACAGCCCTCAATCAGATTTGCTTTGTAGCCAAAGCTCCTTTATTTATTACCACCAGTTTATTTGTTTATGCGCTCACTACAGATGAGATGAAATTGAGAGGTTGCAGTAGTTTTCTAGACTAACAAAATAAGGATAAGAGCCTTTTATTTGTTGGAAAAGTCGAGCAATTGGTATGCGTTAGCAGAGGTTTAGAACTGTTCCTTTACAAAAACATTCCGCTAAAAAAAGCTGTTCAGTGTATAAAGCTCTGTATTCGCATGTCAGAACACAACTACCCTCTATATCATCCCATATGTCTTCCCTCAACATGACGTGGATTACGTGGCTTGATGAGGCGCCGCCTCGCCTCGGCCTCGCGCCACGTTGCGAGCGCATCATTTGGCGCGACGTGGCGCTCAACACAACGTGGCGCAGGCTTTTCCACGTTCTTCTTGTTGCCACATCACGCCGAAGATGCGCACGCAACGTGGCGCAAGCCCGAGGCGAGGCGGCGCCTCATCAAGCCACGTAATCCACGTCATGTTGAGGGAAGACATATGGGATGATATCGAGGGTATGTATCTACCAACCAACCTAATATTGCACTACATTTACAACAGTCTTCGGCTAACAATGAACATAGGAAGTTAGGCCAGAACTACAAGTTAGACACTATAAACAAAGGGAACGGAACATCCGAATGTCAAATGATTTCACGGTCTGCTGCCACTACTGCTTAATGCTTAATGCATAGATTGAGGCCACTGCTCCTGCACAAAGGTTCTTAGGGAGTTTTTTTTCTCAGCGAAGCGAGCTCAGATATCAGCCGTATTAAATGAGATGCAGATCAACTTACCTTGCATATAAGCTCCTCACTCCTGACTTTGAAGTAATTGAGAAAACATGTAGACCCAAAAAAATGTGCCGAGCGTTTGATCGCAGCAAACTCTTGTCCCAACAGCTTTTCGCATAAGATTAGGACCATATTGTATGACTAACTTCAACTTACTGTTAGATTTACAGTTCAATGAAAACAACAATTGTCCCTTATTGCTAGGACCACGGTAAGATCACGGTAGGAGGTTTTTCGAGGCACCAAGTAAGGATTATAAACGCTGTAAATGCCACTATAAATAAGCGTGGGTAGCTGATTCCATATATGAATTTTTGCTTTGCATTAATTTTTCTTTCAAAAACTACGGTCATATGCATATGGCTGTTTTTTCCGTGCCGCTAAAAAAGTCCATTTGTGCAGTGAGAAACAACCATAAAGCTCTACAAAGTCTGCCTTTAAGTTCAACTTTTCCGGAAACCCTGTGAAAATATTTCACTCCTTTCGGAAATTCTCTAAAGTGGCAACTACTTCACAGAGCTAGCGCGCTGGAAATTATCACGTGCTCCAAGAACAATGGATGGAGATATGCGATTCGTTTTGTTCCGCAAAACTAGGTTGCAGCCAGCAAGCCAGTCCTACAGTAGTTAGCTGGATGGATGCGAAGCCTTTTGGGACCAGAAAATTATAAAAGATCAAGCACTCCCTATGGCAAACCTTTTATGAAGACGAAAGCGTCAAAAATTAGGCCGCAGTTGATGAATAAAGGTCTATCTGACAACCTGTCTAGCACAATAATATTCTCACTCGGTATAGTTTCATTTCTTTTTATTTCAACAAATTTGGTACGCCCAAAGCGTGTTAAAAACAATAGAACCATGAGATAGCAAGAAACATGTGTGGCATCCTAATCGATATTCAAGGAAAAGGGAAGAAGTAGAAAAAGGTTGAAAACGAAACAAAATTGAATTCGACAGTTTGGCACTAGGCCCTCATTCATGGTCACTTCAAGTAACAAAAGTAACAAAAGTAACAATACTAGAAATAAGCTTGAAAGGCATATATGCAAGCAGTGGGGTTTTTTGGCTATTTAAAGAATTAATCTATAGAGCGAGTATTATTTTCTAGGCGCAATGACGTAATATATTTAATGTTTAATATTTCATTTAATGCTTTTTTGCCTATCAACATTATAAATGGTCCAATGCTGCGTTCAACGTTTCAAACGTATCCTTTTGTTCCTCTAGTGTTCCAGAAACGGGGCTATCTCTTCATTGTTTCAACTCGAGGGGTTGAACCGACCATATGCGTCGGATATGCGCCTTTCACTATCACTGCGTGATTAGCACATATCAGAGACTTGCAACCTGCATCCGACTCTCACTTTGCTCCTCTAACTTAAACTCTTTGCATTTAATAATAGTAAGTTATGTAAATGTCAAGGTTTCGCCGAAATGCTTCCTTTTGCTGTGCTGCTGATCTTAGTGCCAAGGGCTTTCGGTGCAAGCTGTGGAGGATCTGGAATTCCGTTTCGATTCGAGGTTTGCTAGAGAATAGCTGGGCACGATTCCCTTCTACTTTGATGATCTCCTGTTAAGGTGTTGCCATCGGGCGCTCCAGTGCTAGGTTGTGCCGCTCCCTCTTGTTTTGGTGGCGGCGATGGAGGAAATGGAGCTCTCCACGACTCAAAGTTCCAGGTAGAAGTCGAAGTGTTTCGGGGCAATTATTGGATCTAGAGCACAATATTTTTAGCTCTCTCCAGAAGGTGACGATGGCTTTTTTCGAGAAGGAGATCTTCAACGCTCACGGTCGCGACTGTATTCGGCAGCCGCTCAACAGGCTCTCTGCCCATCAGGCTTTGATTCGCAGTCCTGCAACAATGAAAGAACATGGGTTGGCGGCTTCTTGGCCAGTCCCGATGGAAGGTATTGAGTAACTCTGTTAACACGTTTTGGACCGGCGCTGCGCATGCTGCAGCACGTTTTGAAGGATCTTTCTGACTTTTACAGGGAGTTTTCTTTTAGTCCAAAGTTATCAAGTCAAAGGCTTGAGCTCCTACTTTTCAAATGACTCTGCAGAGCTGTGCCGCTAGATCTGTTTAGAAGATATGAGGACAAATCAAACGAGAGTTGCGACAGAGGGCGGCAACGCAAACGATGCGTGTGACGTCGCAACTTTTCTTTGCTTTTATTTCAAAGAGGAAAACCGTAGTTTCAATAACGATGTGTACTGTGAGCAAGATAACTTTTGGATACCAATAGAAATCGAAGTCTATTCTATTTTTCAAGAATGCACAGAAGTCCTTCTTAAGCGGTAAAATTCAAACGATTCGAATTCACGCAGAACTTTGGGTATGGAGCTTATCCGACATGCTGATTACGGATGTAGCAGACGGCCTACGAAATAAGGTCCTTTGTTGGCTAACGGCTGAAAGTACACTCTTTTTGCCGCGCGCGATTTCGCGGTCCGAAACGTGTTAATCTTTCAAAGTGTAAGCGATTCATAGCACGCAAAGACTGCGGACTTGACTGCGTCTCTCTGATCGAGCGCTGTTTCGCTTCTCTTACCACCTGGTGTCTCTCCCAGATGGTAAGAGAAGCCAAACTATCCCAATCATTTTGATCGGACTCGACGGCGCTCAGTCTTTGCGTGTCATGAATCGTGTATACATACCTAATCGGCTTTCTTCCATCTCCTTAAAGGCACCGTTCACTCAAATTGAGTTTGGGGTGAGATTGTTGTTGTATAATAGTGCGCTTCTAGCTAAGTAATCTCCTAAGTCCCGTTGCAAAAGATGAATTCCGAAGAGAGAAAACGCTTTAGAAGCTAGAAGCGGCTCAGGTGACTCCGCCCATCAACGTAGGCATAAAAATGGAAATCCAGAATCTCTAATGTATCTGGAGTTGTCATAAGCCCGCCCTTCCTTGTGATCATCATTTCGACATTTTTTTACTATAAAGCTTTCGAGCTCATTACCTTTAGACCACCCAATTTGAAGGGCGGAGCCACCTGAGCCGCTTCTGCCTTCTGAAACAAATTTCTCGCATCGGAATTTAGCTTTTGTTCTCGCGAGAGTTGGATGATTAAACTTAAATTCATCTGGCTTGGCTTCGGAAAGGCGGGGCTTTGTGCCCTAATTAAGACCGCTCGCGCCCGCGACGCACCTGCGTCTCTCTCGAACGAGTGCTCTCTGATCATTATTTAGCCTTAATTAGGTCACGAAGTCCCGCTTTCCCGAAGCCAAGCCAGTTGAATCAAATGGTGTCTAGTAGAGACCGCGCTAACTTACAGCACTCAAATCACAAAATGCTCAATTTGGTGGATGGTACCTCACATATTTACAAAAGGAGTAAATAGGCGGAGATCAAATAAAAATATTCCTGTCTTCCACATACATAACCCAATTCAGTCTCCGCCTCCAGTGCTGCTCTTATGACGGCTTGCGATTCGCCGAAGAAGTTGGACGTCCAATTGTTCACAGTGGGGAAGTATATAGCGGAGGTGAATGAAAACTTCAAAGGAGATCGTCACTTTGCCAGTAAAAAGTTGACAGTGTCAACTTGATTTGAATACAAAAATTTTTCGCACTTTACACATCGAAGATTATCTGATTCTATCTAGGCAAAATCTCATGTAGAACGACTATGATTTTCGATTGCAGAACCTTGCTAAAGAATTTTGTCTCAGGAGAAGTGCTTCGTGATGGAAGACAAACAGGCTTCGATTTGATCTCCAACGTGAAGAGAATTGATGCTTCTGACGGAAAGTGAGTTTTGTCGTTATCCACCAATTTCAATTACATAAACGATAGACATTGAAATATATCTTCTCACTCGTGGAAGTAGGTAAACGGGTCGAGGTAAAGCTGTGTTCGAACATCGAAGTAAAGCTCGGTTCGAACTTCAACTCTCCATAAAGCATTGGTTCGTGGACGTTTTACAAGAACTCTTTCAAAAGGAGGGAAAGCATAGTACTGCACGGATTCGACCGGGCTGAACGCCCGCGAGCGTGTCTCTTGCGGGCCAACATTGGCATTGCGCACATGAGTCATCAGAGCGCCCGTACAGTTTGCCCCAATTCTAAACAGGCCAAAATTGGATGGCGGGAGTCCGCGTCCCGAAGGTTTCGCGCCACTTCTTCGGCTAGCTAGTCTGCTCTCTTCTCAATCTCTTCGCTCTCTGCGACAGCGCGCGTGTGCAGCGCAAACCCCTAGCGCTGCGAGCGCGCAATTTCAGCCGATGGTTCGGCCTGATCCCGTTTGGGACAGACTATACTTGGCAGCTGCGTTGCAGGCAGGCTCGCGTGCGTTCAGCCTACAGCGAACCGGGGATTTCTTGCAGTCAACTTTACCAACTTTACTTTTCTTGCACTCTGTACATAGTAGCCTCACTTCGCCTTCCTCCCCCCCCCCCTCCTCCCAGCGGAGCTGAGACTGAGTAAGGCTGTGCAACACTACGCCTTGAAAGCGACCCAACAGCGTACAGGCTAGCTCAATCGCAGTGCCGCGTGGTGCACCAGCACTGGGGTTCCGCGAGATGGTTTCGGCTGCGCTTGCGCAGCGCTCGCGAACGTGTCGTCTATCATACGTGCCTGTGCGTGAGAAGGCTCAGATTGGAACTTCACTCGTTAAGTAAGCGTGGAAATGTTCAGGGGACACATTCGCGAAAGCGATATAAGCTTGAGCGAGGCGGCAGCGCCTAACTCGAGCCGCTAGTGTACCCGACACTGCAACTGAGATAGCTTGTATCTTATTAATCTCCTTACATAAAGCCTTCACCTAAAGGCGTCCAAACACGCTTGCAGATCGGAAAGGTGAAGATGCAAAGCAGGTTGGGCCTTTCCGTGAGTTCGAAGCGATCACCGCTTTTAGACTACGGTATGCAAATCGACTACTATTCTTAGCTACAGAGCTTACTATGTATTCTAATTAATTCTCGATACATGCAAATCTTACCAGAGAGTACTTTCAAACTCGAAAACTGTAAACCTACAGCTAAGCAAATTTTAAGTGAATCAATGAAGCTGAGTCAAAGTCTCTAGTCGAGATTTCCACAGGTCTTACAATTAGAAACTACATTGCAGCGTTGCCTACGAACTCACTGTTGTGCGTATGAACTGCCTTCCAGATCCAGCCGAGCCCACTAATGATGGTAGGTTACCGACAATATTATGTTGCAGTGGGAAAGAGTTTATTGGAGTTGCTGCAAAACGCAGACGAGTTTTGTTTTTCAGTCGACATCGACACCAACGAAATCAGCCGCATCCTTGACAAGGTCGGCGACGTTCGAGCGCAGGAGCCTGCTGCAATTGCACAAGTCGGTGAAACCATCCAACAACGACCAGATAGTTACCAAGTGGCCAAAGTAGCTGAGCCAGCGCAAGTTGAAGATGGCGAAGAAATCGTCCAGGTAAGTCTGCTCATTTTTTTGCAGTAACTAGAAATACCTAGAAAGACGAATAGAGTCAAGCGTGAGCTGTGGGACGCCATACCTGGGGATCATGTTGAGGGGTCAGGCTCAGGGTGGGAGGGGGAGGGGAGGGGAGGGGGTCGTTATCGAGGTGTTACTGATGGTAGCGTGATATTCGCTAGAAATGTCCGACAAGCTCATTATACAGAAAGCAAATCCGCAGAGGTATTGACCTACCATCGTATACGTACACTAAGCATAAGAAGATTTGAAAGCATAGCAGCACTATTTTCATGCCGAACAACCCAGTGGACCAAGATTTAGCAAATTCTGAGGTTTCCCAGGGGAAATAGTCGTTTCCGAACATTTGGTTATGTTTCAGAAGTGAGTTGGCTACTTTTTTCCATATGCTACAAGTACTACTCCGCCTTTGCTAACATTAGGAACCCCACATCAAATAACCTCGAACTTAAGCGATTAGAGCAAGTCAAAACGGCTGTCCCATTTTTTTGCTCCCGATGTCTCAGACCAGAGAATACCAATCAGGCTTAAACTACTCGTGCGAAAACTACGAGGTTCAAGCTATTGAATATATTGAATATTGAATATATATTGTTGCTACCCTCGCTCGCGATGGGCATATTAGCGCAGGCTTAGCATGCTACCGTAATCCAATATGTTGCATTTGCATAGGGTGTGAAAGACTACTATATTTCGCTCTAGGAGAAAGGATTTTAATTGAAATTTCTATTATGTAGAGAAGAAGTTGTGACAACGACATAAAAAGCAAAGATATTTGAGTGTTTTGGAGGTCACTTAATGGGGTGTGGCACAATCCTCAAAAAGGTGCAGCCACATCTTTTTAGGGGTTGTGCCCCATACCCTATTGACTTACCTCCAAAGACAGTTTTAGCTTGTAATATACAGGGCTTATAAAACGCAGTGTCGCTTGCATCAGCATCTCCATTCCCGCGCTGGACTCTGCGAACATCTCCATTCCGCGGAATATGCTCTCTGATCACTTTCCCAGGGAGAGCGTGGGGGAGGCGGAGCCTTTTTTTACTAATTGATTGGAAGTGATTAGAGAGCACGATCGCATAAGAGACGCAGAGTCCAGCGCGGGAGTGGAGATGCTGATGCAAGCGACACTGCGTTTGATAAGCCCTATATGAACAGTTCGAGAGCCCAATTCTCGTAGTTCCCACAAAAGTAACTTGAGCCTGATTCATCTTCTTTGATCCATGTGATAACTGCTGAAAGCAGAACCACCAAATACGAAAAATGGGGATGAAATTTTGGCCGGCTCCTAATTCCACATTTTGGAGGTTAGGTAACTATTCACCTTCAAAGTAGAGTTACCATGTTTGTAATGACCATTTCACTTGGGTGGCCCAATGTTGGAAACCTTCAGAACTCGCTCAAACCTGGCCCACAGGGGTTATTTGATATAATAACGAATTTTTACTAATTGTGCTTGATTGAGCCTCAATGTTAAAGGCACCGTCCACCCAAAATCTCGAATTCAATGTTTTTGTCACCTTCAGGCCTTCTGAAAGCCCTGATTCCGCATACGGAGTCGAAAATCCGCGAAACCCCAAAAATCCCTGTTGTGAGAACCCTCTGCAACAAGCGCAGGTGAGATAAAGCTGGCAAGTGGGCGGGGCGACCATGGTCGACCCGCCTACTTTGCTAGTTCCGGAGCAGATTTCTCGCTCCAGAAGCAGTCTTTCACGGAAGCTTGGGGGTTGCCTAGTGTGGGAGCCCACACTAATATGCCATCATAATCTCGTCAACCTCCATTTTGGGTGGACGGTGCCTTTAAGCTTACGGTAGACAAACGGTACTGCTGGGGTGGGAGGCGGGGGGGGGGGGGGAGAGGGGGGGGGGGAGAGACATAACTTAAAGGGGGGATCGTATCCGAGAGTTTTGGTCCACACCTCTTGTTCGACCCTGCAAATGCTCTGCATGGTTGCCTTATTTTAGGCTACGGTATAAGTTTGTTGTTAACGATCTGTATTCATTGCCATTCGAAACAAGCTTCTATAAAAGGCACCGTCCACCCTAATTGAAAAAGCTAAGGGTTCGATGCTGTTATAGCAGAGCTCCTGACTGTGTAATCGCCCAACTCCCGCTGCAAAAGATGAATTCCAAAGACAGAAAAACGATTCACAAGATAGACGCGGTCCAAGTGGCTCCGCCCATTAGCGTGGGTGGTCTGAAGATCACTCGAAAGCGGGCTTCAGGGTAGATGAAGATGTCGAAAATCTGATAATCATAATGAAAGACGGATATATGACAACTCAAGATATATTAAAGCCGGGTTTTGGATTTCTATCTTCAGACCATCCGCGCTGATGGGCAGAGCCACTTTGACCGCTTCTATGCTTTTGAGCGATTTTCTCGCTTCAGACTTCATCTTTTGCACCCTAACTTGGCAATAAACTAGTTAGGAGCTGCGCTGCTATAGTACAACATCAGAATCTCACTCTTCAGTTTGGGTGGGGAGTGCCCTTAAGGCAGTTTCCGGACAAGAACTCGATTTCTAGCAAACTCACTTACTTGGGGTTATCCGCAACGCTGAATATGCTTCAGAAAGCGCATAGACGGCGAGAACATGTGCCTCTCGAAGGCTTACGAAGTAGATTCGCTTGTACGGTTCCCGCCAAGGTTAAGAAGCAACCTCCACTGACTACTGTTCATCTGCGCATGTTATTGCATATCATGTGAGGACGGGTAGTTTGTGGATTCTGCAATCAATGGCGGAATTCGTTATACAACTTCTACATCTCTAGAAAAGATAGGAATGAAAGAGCGAGTAAATTGAGTCTACTTTTCCCATCTCACGAGAGAAACATGGTCACGCAGACGGACCTCTACTTGTAGTAATATAACATCTTGCTTACAGGTTGGAGAGCAGGTTATTCCGGTTACGTCTGCCGGCTACTATTATCCCGTTGCATCCGGGGTGCCAGCGTGTTTTACGGGCGATACGCAAGTAGAAACCCCGTCGGGATATAAAAGGATGGACGAACTAAAAATCGGAGACCTTGTCTTGACTGCTGAGAGGAACTCGGTCAGTCTCCCAATTTTACCATGCTGATTTTCAAGTGGATTTTCCGCCTGATATGTGTTTGCAATGCCAAAAAAATGCGGTAATCGCGCGTGAACAAATAGCAGCGCTGGCGTTTTGCGCGCGCAAGACCGGCATCACTAGCGTAACTATTTGTTCGCGCACAAATTTTATCGCATTTTTTCAGCACCGCAAGCACACTATATTAAGCAGAAAGTTTACTGGACTATACAAACAACATATTTATCTCTTAGGCTCATCTTTGTAGACACTCTTCACTCGCGTTATCTCGTTCCTCCACCGACTTCCGAGTACAGCTGCGTCCTTTATCAAAGTCGAATCCGATGAGATTACACTGAAGCTGACGCCTCAACACTTCATTTATAAAGTAAGTTGTGAATAATTTAGACCAAGGTATAGTATCCATCGCCGCAAAGACTGGACGCCATGTTATCCGATCAAAACAGTATATGTTTGGGAGAGAAAGCAGAGTAGGGAATGAAAGCGCGTTTGATCTGAGAGACGCCGACAAAGTCCGCAGCTGCGGCCTATCTTTGCGTCCAATAAATCGCCTAATGGACGTTTTTTTATTCATTTTTGAACTAAGAGAATAATTATCAGATTTATTGCATCCTCCAAACTTCTGTTCCGCTAAAGCAGAAACGATCGCCCTCATGCTTGAAATTACGTTATTTTTCCATGTCACCAATTTGGTAGTTATCACAGCAAGTCTTACATCCATATCTAATACACCCAAACTTTTTGACTCCAAAGTTAGCAAATCAGAATCTGAGGCATCAATGTTGCGTAAGAGATAAGAGATTGTATAACGAGGGGAGCCCTTTGGATGGTTTTCTCACACAAAAAGAAACAACAGCTTTTACCATTCCGCAGGGAAATTACTCACTTCAGGTAGATTGTGATAACGCTGATTACAATATCGAAATGGTGTACGCTGAAGATCTGAAAGCAGGAGACTGCCTCTACCGAGCTCAAGCTGACTGTGAGTTCAATTCTGAATTTACTTTGGGCGCCAATACCTTATTCTGAACAATTTCGGAATCTCATACCAAACGGAGGAAGAGTAATGAATGTTATTTTGGTAGGCTTTCATACAGATCAAGTGTTTAAGCATTCTACCGTATGCCTACCGTAACTTCGCAAAAATAATTCTTCGGCGCTAGACTATTGCCGTAATTGTCGCAGCTGAGCCCTCATGCAAATTTGCAAGAAGAGATCTACTTTACAAAAATCTGCAACTTCGTGTTTTCTTAGGTAATGCAATCGTTTCCATGATAACAGTCGCTTTGTGAATTGCATAATTTTTCAATATGCAGCCGTGCAGTCTATGGCTGGTGGTGGAAGCTGCATAACATTGTTCGGAAAACAGTGCAAAACCATTGGAAGTAGCGCGAAGAAGGTTGTATTATATAAAGTGAAAAGGGTTTCTGCAAATTCAAATAGGGCAGTTACACAAATCGACTTTAAAATAGTCTTTTGTATTATATTAGGTTGTCCCGAAAGTTTTGTCCGTCTTATTTATTGCTTACTAAAACTCACAGAACAAATCCATGGACGACTTAGTTACCATATGATTTAAATTTTTCTCCTCTTTCTAACAGTATATTTGCTCTCTGATCTACCCTGTACTTGTAATGTTATCATGAATTTTTGAACAGCTCAGCAGTAACGCCATAATTTTTCGAAGTCTAAAAATTTTCTTCATGGAGTTTTCGAAGAGCGCTGGTAACTGTTATGTAGAACAAACCTTTGGCTACATTGTACCTATTTTAAATTGCATTGTTCACGTTTACCAAGTCCATTATAATTACTTATTCAATAAAAACCGCGGCTTTTTGATTACGCTTAGCACGTAGAAGTACCGAAAACTCCAAAAAGCTGTTTTTCAAGCAAATCAAACTTGGTTATGTTGCATAAATAATGTTTGATAAGAATCATGTTTCATTTCGCAAAAACTTCAGAAGCTTTCTTGTATTCGCTGCATTTGCGTGTCTATGACTTTGACAAAAATCGAGACCTCCGAAGAAATCATTTCTTGAAACCAAAAATTTGAAACTATAATATCATCAACGTGGACCGAGAATTGCTCTATCTGATCCATTTTAACCCGAAGTTTGAGAGAGATTTTCAAAAATAAGCCTAACTTCAAGCAGTAAAGAGGACGGGTGGAGAATTCTGGCAATCAAAAAAAAGCATACAAGATTATGGCTCGAAAATATATCCATAAGAAAGAGAAGAAAAAGCTGCAGCGAATGCATGTTGAAACTCTCTTTATCGTGTGTCGTTTGATATATTTTTTTATTTTTGTATTGTTTGATAGTCGTTTGAAAAAACGGACAAAACTTTCGGGACAACCTAACAGCATTGGCGAGTCACTACACGCAGAGACAGGGCACCACCTCCTACGCTGTCGGCGTCTATCCGATCAAACACACTGTCATCCCTCTTATCGTCTGCCGTCTCTTCCAAACATAAGGTGTCTCTTCGGCCAGTCTCTGCGTGCGATGAATTGTTTATACATCATGACGCCATGGAGAACTGCTTCTACGGCAAAAACAATTATTTCGGCAAAACAAGCATTTCTATGACTGGAATACAAGCTTCCTTGTGTAGATGTGTAGCAGTTTTTGGATTTTACAGTTTCGAGGTCCAGATAGTGAAATAGTATTACCCACTTCAAATCTGGTTTTGATATTTCAGCTTTGCATAAGACTTTTGTCCATGCTGTCTCGATCGTGCAAGAACGTGGAGTTTATGCTCCGATGACGGAGTCAGGTGATCTCTTAGCCAACGACATCTATGTATCCTGCCATAATGTGGTTAAAAGCAATACATTAGCTCATACATATCTCGGCTTTGTTACTGCTGTACAAAGAAAGGTGGGTGCTCACTTTGGATCAGTTCGAAAGCATTTCAACTTATGTCAGATGCGATCTTTGTTCGGAGGAGCTGATAATGGGCATCTTCCAACGACGACAGAGTTCTTCTTGAACATGGTCGACTACATCATTCCCACGATATCAAAGTTCGAACTGTAATCAACTTAGAGGCAGCGTCCACTCAAAGAATTCTGAAATTTTGATGCTGTATATTAGCGGGGCCCTGACCAAGCAATCGCCCGAGTGCCGCTCAAAAGGTGAATTCTGAAGCGAGAAAATCGCTCTAGAAGGTAGAAGCGGCCTAGGCGACACCGTCCATCAGCATGGTAGTCTGGAGACCATAATTCCGAAATTGTGATTCAGGGTAGATAGATATGTTGAAAATCTGATAATCATAACGAAGGATGGACCTATGACAATCCCAGATATATCAAAGCCCATTTCGAAGTAAATGCCTCTAGACCACCCAGGGACAGGCGGCGCCTCCTGAACCGATCCAACTTTCTGAAGCCCCTTTCTCGCTTTGGAATTCACCTTTCGCAGCTGGACTTGGCGATTCTTATTTAGATGCCCTATTATACAGCACCAAAACCTCACCAACTTCAGTTTGACTGGACTGTGCCTTCAAGCCTGCGTGCAGTCGATCGTGCTCACTTGTAATAATAAAGTTTCGTATAATAAGTGATTGTCGTGATTATGTTTGTGTTTGATAAATATTCTAATAAGTGTCTAGCTTGTTCAAAGCCATAAAGTCATGAAGATTTTGCATTTGTGCATGTTTTTGCGTACGGAGAGTTTTAAAATCCTAGTCATGAGTCTGCACACCATGCGCGGCAACCGACGACACCCGTACTAGCAACTCCTTAATAGGACGTTTTTTTAGCATAAGAAAGTGTAGAAATGTTTATACTGACGAATACCTATGCGATAGAACCAAACGAAACAAGAAAAGAGAGAAATCAGTGGAAGTGAACAGGGTGCTAATCTTATGAGTCGTCAAGTTGTGCACGTGGTGTGCAATATGCATGTTGAATCACAAACGAGTCGAAGCATGTCAGCACTGTTTTATCGTTGATACATCGTTTTGATGCAACTCGCGGACCTTTGGGTATTATACAATACCGCTCGTACTTTTTGAAAAAATGATGCGAGTTCGCGCGATTCATGTGACATCACCACAGCGTGGCCATATCTTGCTTCAGAGTGAATGAATTCCTAATCCAAGGGCACCATTCGACTCAGCTTGGCGTGGTGCATCCTCTGATATAAGAAATGCTCGTTTGGGCAATGCAAGGTCAGATTTCACGACTCGTTTCAGGTTTTTGCTTACGATAGGTTACAGTGTGCTTATTCATTGCATTTACTGGACAACTTACTGTAAGCAAAACTAGAACAATTCGTGGAATCTGGCTACCTACTGTGTCCAAACAGGCACTGCTATACAGAAAATGCGCCGCGCCGATCTGAGTCCTTCGAATAAGTATTGGTCCACTCTGAAGCGAGATATGGCTACGCTGCGGTGATGTCACACGATTCGCGCGACTTCGTCTTTTTTTTTCAAAAAATGCGAGCCGTATCGTATTGTAGAAGTGGCTTTAACTCAGATCTAGAGTATGGAGAAATCATCAGTCGGTCTTTGTTGCTGTAGGTTTAGTGAAGTGAGAGCTTTCCGCTCCATGAAGCAAGAAAATCCTGCCACTTGCTGAATTTTACTTTTAGCAAACCTGTGCGAAGTATTTTAATATCAGATCATGTAGTGAAATTCCTCGAACAATGTATACATACTCTTTTAGGACACCATCTATATCCGAGAGGTTCGTATTCTTTTAGCAGGTTTTCATCAGACATTCTGTTACGTCGCCTTTACCAAAACACTGCACTTCGACCGAATTCCCTATTTCGCCGCTCACATCACTTCATTCTGGTCTAAATAAGCGTAAGCGCGTTGAGGTGTATGGCCCAGATTCCCGGCCTTCTTTTCGGGCGCGCGTTGCTGGGTCAGGCTCAAGGACAGTCGGACGATAAGAGATCCCCCTCTACTCACACAGTTTAGCTCTATAGGGGTCATGTTCAGTGTTACATTTCAGCGCAGTTTCATCGACTTCGATTATTAGATCATATATCACTCATATCAATGGCTTATGATTTGTAGATGCTACGGTTAGTCGCAGCCACATTCGTGTGCTTGCTAATGGTTTCGGCTAAACGCGTTGCCAATGGAACTCGTTGTTCAAAGAATCAGGTTGGTTTGATCAATTTTTCCACATCATCACATTTGGAAATAGATTCTTTGATGTATTATTGACTTCGTTTGCCGCTTCAAATCTGCCATTTTAGGTCATTTCCCGTCTGACCGTATTTGAAGATGGTACACTCGAAGCAGAATGTGGTCCAGTGCCTTGCGGAGAAGTAGGGCGACGATGTATAGAGGATCAGACGAGCTGCCGAGCTGACACTGACATATTCTCTGGAATGCGATGGGCTCCAAATGGCCAGAGGTAAGCACTGCCTCCGCGTAATCGAGAGGAAACAGCAAAGTAAAACTTTCCAAAGGCATCATCCATCCAAATTGAGGTTGGTGAGTATTTGATGCTGTAAAATAGCCGGGCCTCCAAATAAGTAATCGCCCAAGTCCCGCTGCAAAAGGTTGGTTCCAAAACGAGAAAAGTCAGACGAGCTGCCGAGCTGACACTGACATATTCTATTCATAATCGCCCAAGTCCCGCTGCAAAAGGTTGGTTCCAAAACGAGAAAAGGCTCCAGAAAGTTGAGTCGGCTTAGGCAGCATCGCCTATCAACGTGGGTGGTTTGAAGATAATAAGCCCAAAATTGGGTTTTTCAAGTATTCAGAATTGTCATAAACTCGCCCTTATGATTACCAATTTTCTTCGACATTATTGATCCTGAAGCCCAATTTTGGACTCATTATTTGGACCACCCACGTTGGTGGGCGGTGCAGCCTGGGCAGCTTCTACATTCTGGCGTATGTTTGTTTCTCGCTACGGAATTCATCTTTTGCAGAGTGACTTGGGCGATTACTTACTTAGGGGTCCCGCTATTATGCAACATCGAGATCTCACCAACGTCTTTTTTTAAAATATTTTGACCTCATAAAACTGCTGCACTGTGCGATTCGACTTGCCTAAAGAAAAACTGAATTTCAGCGTTTTACTGCGATGCTGTACTATCAAAGTTCCGAATAAAATCTATGTTGGAACGGATTTAGTTACTGCCGGATCATATTATGAAGGTGGCCCGATTGCCAAAAAAGATATGTATTACCCTAAAGGCAGAGAATTCGACTTCATCGCCAATGTTCGCACAGAACAGTAAGTGAGAGAGAATGGAAAGAGTGCAATCATGCTCCGGTCCTCTTCTTCAGTTTCTTTTTTTTTTGTAGAGGTGGTGTCCGAGTTTGGGTCTATCGCGTAGCATGTGGTGACAATGATCAACGAGTAGATTTTGAACCAGTTCTCGCTCAGACTCCACTCGTTCCCAGTCGTCCAGTTGCTCAAGCAGAGTCAGTTACTTTGAGGCCCGTTTTTCCTCCCCCTCCCTCCGCTGTCATGTTCCTCAACAAAATTAGAGAATTTTTTCAAGAGTGGCGGACGAGCAAAAGCAAAAGGTCGTGAATGAGCCACAGAATAACGAAGAAGAAGCCGAAGAAGAAGGAGAAGATGAGGAAGGCGAGGAAGAAGAGGAAGAAGTAAGTCATATTCATGTAATTTTGAATGCTGTACTTCAAAAGTTATTTTAGGAGGCTACAAAACCTCCAGTAGAGTTCAACCCACTTCGCTATCGCCCTCCAAATGTACAACGATCGTCTACTGGAAAAATTGCCTGAATGAAGAGGAGTGATCTCAAAGCTAAAATCTGAAAGATGAGCGTTTTCGAGAAGACATATGTATCTTTGTAAATTATTATTTGATCTACGGTATTTGCCATTGATGGCTAATATTGTAGTAACTATGTGACCTCTTGTCTACATTCCACAAACACGAGTCCTGTTATTCAATCGCTTGTATTATTAATAAGAGTCTGATAGCATTGATAATCTGTTGAATCATTTTGTAAGTCGTTTTATCGCCGATTTCATATATATGCCCAACAATAAACCTTTTTCTCAAATAGGCCAAAATGTTTTTGTTTTTTCTAGCAGATTTAGGGCACCGTCCGCTAGAGCAAAGCAAGCTCTGCGAAATGACCACTGGTGATCTAACTAATTGTAAGTAGTTTCGGGTGAAGGTTGGCGCCAAAATCGAAAAATTTTCATCATAAAAATTGATTTTGCTCGGAAAAATCTCGGAAAAAGTCCACGAAACTCTCAGCTCCAAACTAGATGTCATATGGAAGATACATTTGATATTGGTGAATACATTTGCTACGCGCATAGAATTCAAGAAAGATAAGATAATCAAAAATGGCAAACTCCCCCCCCCCTCGCTCCTAATTTTAAAAACTCGAAGTAGTGACTTTCTCGCATTTTCGGGCTATTTTCGTTTCTTAGTTTTTAACCGCAGAAAAAATATCCAGCAATTGTATTTATGGCTACTATTAATTTGTAACAGTCTTGAGACATGCTTACTTCTTACGGCGATAAGTCATACAGTCCACATTTTCCATAGGGGTCCAGGATACCATTCGATAGAGCAAAACAAGCTCTACAAGATATGATGCAAAAGTTCGCACGAACTTTGATGCGATGCACTGTAGATTTGCATCCAAAATCTAAGTCGTACTGAAGGCAAAAATCGTAAAAAATTCATATCTCTGTTCAAAAAATCCTACTGATCAACTTGCTCATAAAAATTGCGCACTACATCAGACACTCGTATGTACCGTCCCTGTATTTCTTCCTTATTTAGAAATCGAGAAAACGAAAATTTTCATGTTTATACAAATACGGATCTATGCCGTTTTCACTCATGAATACTACGAGCCATTGGGAATATAACCGTAAATTTCCAGCTTGCTATAAAAGCAGCATGGGAACACCCGAGTGAAAAAGGCTAAATTCGGTAATTTTCGAAAAGGCTTGTGGTAAACTGAAAATCTACGGTTATACTCCTAAAGCTTGTATACAAGTACATGAGTGAGAACAGCATAGCGTCGTTTTTGTATAATTAGAAAATTTTCATTTTCTCGATTCCTCAATAAGGAAGAAATCCAGGAACGGTGCATATGATTGTCTGATGTGGTGTGCAATTCTTGTGACGAGTTGGAGATTCGCAGGACTTTTTTGAACAGAGGTATGAATTTTTCGTGATTTTTTAAGACTTCATACAACTCAGATTTTGGATGCAAACTTACAGTGGGTCGAAGCTGGCGCGAACTTTTGTATAATACCTTGTAGGGCTTCCTTTGCTCTATCAAATGGTGTGCTGATCCCTTATTGAAAATGTAAGGTGTACAGGTTTTCGCCATAAAAAGTTAGAGTGTCTCAAGACTTATATTACAACCTAATGTTATGTGCCTACTATATAATGCTTGAGTTGGAGATCCGTAGAGATTTTTCGAAAAGAGATTCGATTTTTGAAGTAGTTTAGAAATTTTAGTTCCTGGCTCTAAACCTAAAATTATTTACAACTTAGAATCCCTGGCTGTCGTTTCGTCGAGCTTGTTCTGCTCTATCGAGTACAGTTGTGACAGTGGAATGTGAAAAATTTCGCCGAATTCGCCGATGTCGCCGAATTCGCCGATGTCGCCGAATACGCCGATGTCGCCGATGTCGCCGATGCATCTTTTCGTCATAACTCCCTTCGTTCTCAATGGATTTCAAATTTGAAGGCAGATTTGGATTCAGCTCGCCGAGGCGAATCTTTACTTATATTGAACTGCTGTAATCGGCTCGGTCACGGTAACTGCATGGTAGGAATCCGTTGCATCCTGTGGTGGTGTTTTCTAGAGTGTGTATTTCGGCGCATAATGTAGGCAAAGGTTTAAAAAAAGAGCGTTTGATGGAAGAGTTTCTGCTGAGTGTTTCCAGCAGAAAACCATATCCTTTTTTCTAGTGGAAAAAGGAGAAAGGAGTACGTGAACCTAGTTGATATACATGAACCACTTACCATCAAACAAACATAACTATACAGTAACACTATGATTAGCAAAACAATCATAATCTTTGTAATCAGCATGTCTTGTTGCTTATGCGAGCAAAGTGACACACCGCATGACTATGATATTCTGCCTCCAACAAGACTTCACTTTTCAGACGCCTCTTTGCAACGCTGTGGGCCAGCCCCTTTCACACTTAAAAGATTCCGGTAAGGCGAATCGGAAAGAGTTGTTTCCGTAGATAATCCAGCGGTGAAAAGTAGACGGAGACATGCTTTATAAAGCGCGAAAAGAGATGGTGAATTCTGCAAAAATCACGCGCCTTTAAATTCTACTCGCCATAACTTCCTCCAGAATAAGTATATTCTGAATCCGAAAACAGTGCTATGCTCAGCTCATCAAGGCGAATCTTCTCATATGCAGCATGTCCTTGATATCTCGATTTCAGTATTCTTAAATCTTTCTGCGGACGTTTCTTCTCGAAAGTGTAAAGCAGCGAGCATTGTCCCGAGTAGATTCCAGCAGGGACCTTTTGATAGTACTTTTTCTGTAGATTATGATGCGCTAGACAGTAGCCGCAATTTTCTTTTCAAAGGAAAAAGATGGGCTGGTGAATTGTGGAAAAATCTTGTCGTCCCAAATTCTACTCGCCATATCCACAGGAATACGAAGCTATCTTGCTAAGCAGATGTGAGTTTCGAAATCAGCAGGTCGGATAACCACTATGAGCAAGTTTTCCGAGATTTTCGGGTTATTTCATTTTTTCTCGTTTTACGCTCTGGAAGCTCGCCGATGGATTTTGGTCAAAATGTTGATGCTCTTGAATTGTAAGGAAACTTCGCTCATAGAGGATTTCGAACGCGCTCTTTACGAAAATCGTGGTCTCTGAGGATTACAGTGTCTTTTTGGAGAGATACGGTGAGGTAACTGTAACTGCACCACGAAAGTGCGTAACTTTGCCCGCACTTCTCGCGTATCTCTCAGAAACCTTGCTTGCTTGCTTTTCTAAATCAAAGTGACTAGGAACTGAGCTGTCGAATAGTGCATGAATCGGGTTCCAGTCTATAAAATTCGCCGAGTTACAAGCCTACGAAAACACGTCCTCATGAAATTTGCACAAAATGTAAAGATCGCGTACTTTGTTGAAATTCCACCGTGAGTGGTTGTACAAAACGCGGGCGGAGTGAACATAACATTTGCAATTAGTCATGCAACCACTCACGATAATTTCAACAAAGTACGCGATCTTTACATTTTGTGCAAATTTCTTGAGGACGTGTTTTCGTAGGCTTGTAACTCGGCGAATTTTATAGATTGGAGCCCGATTCATGCACTATTCGACAGCTCAGTTCCTAGTCACTTTGATTTAGAAAAGCAAGCAAGCAAGGTTTCTGAGAGATACGCGAGAAGTGCGGGCAAAGTTACGCACTTTCGTGGTGCAGTTACAGTTACCTCACCGTATCTCTCCAAAAAGACACTGTAATCCTCAGAGACCACGATTTTCGTAAAGAGCGCGTTCGAAATCCTCTATGAGCGAAGTTTCCTTACAATTCAAGAGCATCAACATTTTGACCAAAATCCATCGGCGAGCTTCCAGAGCGTAAAACGAGAAAAAATGAAATAACCCGAAAATCTCGGAAAACTTGCTCATAGTGGTTATCCGACCTGCTGATTTCGAAACTCACATCTGCTTAGCAAGATAGCTTCGTATTCCTGTGGATATGGCGAGTAGAATTTGGGACGACAAGATTTTTCCACAATTCACCAGCCCATCTTTTTCCTTTGAAAAGAAAATTGCGGCTACTGTCTAGCGCATCATAATCTACAGAAAAAGTACTATCAAAAGGTCCCTGCTGGAATCTACTCGGGACAATGCTCGCTGCTTTACACTTTCGAGAAGAAACGTCCGCAGAAAGATTTAAGAATACTGAAATCGAGATATCAAGGACATGCTGCATATGAGAAGATTCGCCTTGATGAGCTGAGCATAGCACTGTTTTCGGATTCAGAATATACTTATTCTGGAGGAAGTTATGGCGAGTAGAATTTAAAGGCGCGTGATTTTTGCAGAATTCACCATCTCTTTTCGCGCTTTATAAAGCATGTCTCCGTCTACTTTTCACCGCTGGATTATCTACGGAAACAACTCTTTCCGATTCGCCTTACCGGAATCTTTTAAGTGTGAAAGGGGCTGGCCCACAGCGTTGCAAAGAGGCGTCTGAAAAGTGAAGTCTTGTTGGAGGCAGAATATCATAGTCATGCGGTGTGTCACTTTGCTCGCATAAGCAACAAGACATGCTGATTACAAAGATTATGATTGTTTTGCTAATCATAGTGTTACTGTATAGTTATGTTTGTTTGATGGTAAGTGGTTCATGTATATTAACTAGGTTCACGTACTCCTTTTTCCTTTTTCCACTAGAAAAAAGGATATGGTTTTCTGCTGGAAACACTCAGCAGAAACTCTTCCATCAAACGCTCTTTTTCTTAAACCTTTGCCTACATTATGCGCCGAAATACACACTCTAGAAAACACCACCACAGGATGCAACGGATTCCTACCATGCAGTTACCGTGACCGAGCCGATTACAGCAGTTCAATATAAGTAAAGATTCGCCTCGGCGAGCTGAATCCAAATCTGCCTTCAAATTTGAAATCCATTGAGAACGAAGGGAGTTATGACGAAAAGATGCATCGGCGACATCGGCGACATCGGCGTATTCGGCGACATCGGCGAATTCGGCGACATCGGCGAATTCGGCGATTCGGCGAATTCGGCGAATTCGCCGAAATTTTTCACATTCCACTGTCACAACTGTACTCGATAGAGCAGAACAAGCTCGACGAAACGACAGCCAGGGATTCTAAGTTGTAAATAATTTTAGGTTTAGAGCCAGGAACTAAAATTTCTAAACTACTTCAAAAATCGAATCTCTTTTCGAAAAATCTCTACGGATCTCCAACTCAAGCATTATATAGTAGGCACATAACATTAGGTTGTAATATAAGTCTTGAGACACTCTAACTTTTTATGGCGAAAACCTGTACACCTTACATTTTCAATAAGGGATCA